CTATTATATGTGTCTATATGTAAATATAGTTATAAAAGAACAATAATGTCTTATCGGTATAATTAGGGGTCGTTCATTGAATATGTTACTATAATTATGTAATGTTCATTCTGGTTGTACTATTGTATTTGGAAGACTCTTAAATTTGACCATATTTATCTTTGGTATCATTTGGCAGAATAAAAAATGAACAAAAAGTTCAATCATGGCATTTTACAAAAGTACATTACTTTTTTTTTGCAATTAAAGGGTTGTATAAATTAATGAAAAAAGTTGAATGGCAGTTTTGTAAAGTTAGAAACAATTTCTGAAAAAACCAAAAAAAAACTAAAGATAATAAAAATAAAAACAAATAACAATATAGTTGTATTGAATAAGAGTTATAAGAAAGGACCAAATTGCCCTTTTTGTCATCTATTCTTTTAATTGCACCAGATCATACACCATTAAAAAATGAAAAGAATACAACTTTCTTTAACAGAAAATTATGATAAATAAATGAAAAGAATACAACTTTGTCTAACATTGCAAAGTACATTGCTATAATATGCAGTTTATGTTATAACATGTCATCTACCATTACAGTAAAAAACTGAAAAATTAACTTTGTGTTATAACAATACTACACCATAAAAGTTTGATGGTATAATATGGTAAAAAGATATTCGGTAAAATCTTTAGGTTTGGGTTCAACAAAAGTTTTATCCCACTCGATGAGTTTCCAGCAAGGGGTCCGCCCAGTTATGCCTTTTGACTTCACCCATCAGATTATCATCCATTATTGGTGAATTCATAGACAGGTTATAGGCCCTACATGTAGTTCTTCCCAACAATGCAGTTCATCAAATTGCAGGTGTTGATTCAGAAGAAAGCGTGAATCAGGGCTCTTTTGTACTTGGCTAATAAAGAAGAAGGATTTACCTTCCAAGTGTATCTCTCCCAACCCATATTTCTTTTGACCTCTCCAAGACAATTCCCATATGCTAACTACATGTAAAGAAATTCTACAATCAAACACATCATTCCAGATTCTAATAATAATTTGCAACTGTTGTTTTTTTATAATACTCTAAGTATCAAGTCTATCCCATTAGACCAAGCATCACTTGTCATAGGTTCCTATCTATGTTTTAGCCCCTTCAAATCACAGCAATGAGACTCAAAAATAGAGATGAGGTCACATAGATACAAACAAGACAAAAACAGAGAGAGACCTTAAGAACAAGAAGCATACCTGAAATGGAGAGGCGACAAATGGTAAGTCTGAAAGGAAATAAAGAAAGAAAACACAACTTTCAGCATCCCAATTATGGATATTCTCCAAATACAAACTGAACTATTGACTAATAGCAAGAAAGCACAACTAAAAGTCTGAAAAGGAAAGAAAGAATAACTTGTAGCTAACGCAATGGTGGAGGTGGTACCTGGTGCCACTGCTATGGTGGCTACACCACTGTAATTGGGGGAAGGTGTCACTGTGATGTGGGGCTATGGTGGTGTAGTGATACAGAAGCAGGAAGAGAAAAGCGATTTGCCAATGGCTGCGTGAAGAGACAGGAACCGAGGATGAAATGAGACAGTGATTGTGATTCCGTGAATACAGTGTCTATAATAATCGAATATATACATATCGATTTCAATCTATTGCTTCAATCCGGTTTTGAACAATTATGGTTCTTGAAGGAGAGGTATGTGACAAAGGTAGGAGGCGGGGTAACGGGGCATCTGGTGAAGGTGAGGGCGATGAGCGTCATGTAGGGTGAGTACGAGAAACATCTATCGTTGGTGAGGAAGGTGGAGTCGGCCATCAGTATCCGCAAAGGGGAACACGGGCATGGGAGGTAGTATATGGCTTCGATATTTAGAGACATGCAGGTTGAAATAAGGCGAGAAGTAGTGGCAGATGAGTCACAGAGAGGTGCTAGCAATTAGGAGATCGTATGGTGGAGATGTCGGCGACAAGTGATCTGTATGGAGAGGTCGACGAACTGATTGGAATGTTAGAGCCAATTTTTAGGTGGGAAATATAA